GGTTCAACTATCCGAAACAGAATTTCCAAGAAACTGGTTAACGGATGGTATTCAGATAAAAATCCTATTTCCTTTTTATCTTAAACCTTGGCATAAATCTAAATCTCAGAAGGCTCGACTAAAAAAAACAAAAGACAAAGGAGAAAAAAATGATTTTTGTTTCTTAACAGTTTGGGGAATGGAAACCGAACTACCGTTTGGTTCTGCCCAAAGAAAGTCTTCTTTTTTTGAACCTATTTCTAAAGAATTAAAAAAAAGAATCAAAAAATTAAAAACTAAGTCTTTTGTGGTTTTAAGGATTTTCAAAGAAAGAGCACCGATTTTCCTAAAAGTCGCAAAAGAAATTAAAAACTGGATTCTCAAAAACTTTATTTTTATAAAAGGAAAGATAAAAGACCTTTCAAAACGAAATCTAATTCCATTATTTGGCCCGAGAGAAATATATGAATTAAATGAACCTAAAAAAGATTCAATAATAAGTAATCAGATGATTCATGAACTATCTGTTCAAAAAAAATCCATGGAGTGGACAAATTCTTCACTTAGCGAAAACAAAATAAAAAATTTGATTGATAGAAAAAAGACAATCAGAAATCAAATAGAAACTATTTCAAAAGAAAAACAAAACTTAACTAATAGTTGTACCAAACTGCGTTATGATTCTAAAATAATTGAGTCATCAAAAAAAATTTGGCAGACATTCAAAAGAAAAAATACCCGATTAATTCGTAAATCCTTTTTTTTTCTAAAATTTTGCATCGAACAACTGTCTATAGCTATTTTTCTAGGTATCATTAATATTCCAAGAATTACTACACAACTTTTTTTTGAATCAACAAAAACAATTCTTGATAAATATAGTTACAAGAATGAAGAAAATGGAGAAAAAACAAAAAATACTATTTATTTTATTTCGACTATAAAAAAATTAATATCCAATAAAAAAAAAATGAGTTATGACCTATGCTCTTTATCACAAGCATATGTATTTTACAAATTATCACAAATTAAAGTTAGTAACGTTTCTAAATTAAAGGCTGTTCTTGAATATAACATATGCATAACATCCTTTTTTGTTAAGAATCAAATAAAGGTTTTTTTTCAAGAACAAGGAATCTTTCATTATGAATTGAAAAATAAAACCTTTTTTAATTCCGAAGTAAATCAATGGAAAAACTGGTTACGAAGTCAGTATCAATACAATTTACCCCAGATTGCATGGGTTAGATTAGTACCCCAAAATTGGAAAAATAAAATAAATAAAGATTCTCTAGTTCTAAACCCAAGTTTAACCAAAGAGGATTCATATGAAAAAAAGAAATTTGATAATTATAAAAAACAAAAATTTTTTGAGGCCGACTCGTTATTAAATCCAAAACATAATGTAAAAAAAGATTCTATATATAATCTTTTTTGCTATAACTCTATTCATTCTACAGAAAAAATTTTTGACATGTCTATAGGCATTGCCCTAGATAATTGTTTAGTCTCTTCTTTTCTAGAAAAATATAATATTCGGGGTATGGGGGAAATTCGGCATAGAAAATATTTGGATTGGAGAATTCTTAACTTTTGGTTTACAAAAAAAGTAAATATTGAGCCCTGGGTTGATACCAAGAGTAAAAAAAAATACATTAATACTAAAGTTCAGAATTATCAAAGAATTGATCAAATAACTCAGACGGATCTTGCTAATCAAAAAAGTTTCTTTTTTGATTGGATGGGAATGAATGAAGAAATACTAAATCATCGTATAACAAATTTTGAATTTTTTTTCTTTCCGGAATTTTTCTTATTTTCTAGTACATATAAAATGAAACCGTGGGTCATACCAATCAAATTACTTCTTTTAAATTTTAATGAAAACATAAATGTTAATAAAAAGATCATTCGAAAGAAAAAAGGTTTTCTACCATCAAATGAAAAAAAATCCCTTCGATTTTATAATCTGAATAAAGAAGAAAAAGAATCGGCCGGTCAAGTAGAGCTTGAATCAGATAAAGAAAAAAAAAGAAATCCCGAATCAGCTCTATTAAACCAAGAAAAAAATATTGAAGAAAATTTTGCAGAATCAACGATAAAAAAACGTAAAAATAAAAAACAATACAAAAGCAATACAGAAGCGGAACTTGATTTATTTCTGACAAGATATTCGCGTTTTCAATTGCGATGGAATTGTTTTTTTAATCAAAAAATTCTCAATAATGTAAAAGTATACTGTCTCTTGGTTAGACTAAACAATCCAAACGAAATAGCGATATCTTCTATTGAAAGAGGAGAGATGAGCCTAGACATTCTAATGATTGAGAAAAATTTCACTTTTGCAAAATTAATGAAAAAAGGAATATTGATTATTGAACCTGTCCGTTTGTCTGTACAAAACGATGGACAACTTATTATATATAGAACCGTAGGTATTTCATTGGTTCATAAAAATAAACATAAAATAAGTAAAAGATACAAAAAAAAAAGCTATATTGATAAAAAAATTTTTGAAAAATCCATTACAAAATATCAAAACAAAACTGTAAATAGAAAAAAAAATAATTATGATTTCTTTGTCCCTGAAAATATTCTATCCCCTAAACGACGTAGAGAATTTCGAATTCTAATTTGTTTCAACTTAAAAAAAAAAAAAGCGAGGGATAGAAATTCAAGATTTGATAAGAATATTCAAAACTTGACCACAGTTTTGCATAAAAAGAAAGATCTTGATAAGGATAAAAATAACCTAATTAATTTAAAATCCTTTCTTTGGCCCAATTTTCGATTAGAAGATTTAGCTTGTATGAATCGCTATTGGTTTAATACTACTAACGGAAATCATTTCAGTATGATAAGAATACGCATGTATACGCGATTTCCAATTCATTAATGATAGATACTTTTTACTATATAAATATAAATAAGTTACGGTATATGAAAACAACTATATGCACAAATATGAGGGATTGTTTTAAATTCAATCTTTATACATGAGATTAATTTAATCAATAACATAGATACCAATTAGAGCGGATCCATAAATAAATTAACAGAATCCTTCTTTTTGAGATCTAAATTTAGATTTTTTTTATAAAATGAAGAATTAAGAAGTTGATAATTAAATTCAGATCCTTGTACAAAAAAACTACCATTATTATTACTGATCAGTAAAATTAATATCTTTCAATTCATATTAAAAGGGGAAGGATTTCTTTTTATGATAAAAAATACATTTATTTCATTTGAAGAACAAAAAGAAGAAAGCAGGGGATCTGTTGAATTTCAAGTATTTAGTTTCACTAATAAGATACGAAGACTTACTTCACATTTAGAATTGCACAGAAAAGATTATTTATCTCAGCGGGGTCTACGAAAAATTCTGGGAAAACGTCAACGACTGCTGGCTTATTTGTCAAAAAAAAATAGAGTACGTTATAAAGAATTAATTAATCAGTTGAATATTCGGGAATTAAAAACTCGTTAAATTAAAAAATTGTGAATTAGTGAATTTTTTAGATCTTGAATTTTTAGATAAACTTCTTTATTCAGCAATCTAATTCATGCCAGAACGAATCAAGGAAAAACTTATGAAGAGACCAGTTACAGGAAAAGATCTTATGATAGTCAATATGGGACCTCACCACCCATCCATGCATGGTGTTCTTCGCTTAATTGTTACTCTAGATGGTGAGGATGTTGTTGACTGTGAACCCATATTAGGTTATTTACACAGAGGAATGGAAAAAATTGCAGAAAACCGAGCAATTATACAATATTTACCTTATGTAACGCGATGGGATTATTTAGCTACTATGTTTACAGAAGCAATAACAGTAAATGGACCAGAACAATTGGGAAATATTCAAGTTCCTAAAAGGGCCAGCTATATCAGAGTAATTATGCTGGAATTGAGTCGTATAGCTTCTCATCTGTTATGGCTCGGCCCTTTTATGGCAGATATTGGTGCACAGACTCCCTTTTTCTATATTTTCAGAGAACGAGAATTTGTATATGATCTATTCGAAGCTGCCACCGGTATGAGAATGATGCATAATTTTTTTCGTATTGGAGGAATAGCGGCTGATTTACCTTATGGTTGGATAGATAAATGCTTGGATTTTTGTGATTATTTTTTAACAGAGGTTGTTGAATATCAAAAACTCATTACACGAAATCCTATTTTTTTAGAACGGGTTGAAGGAATTGGGATTATTGGTGGGGAAGAAGCAATAAATTGGGGTTTATCCGGACCAATGCTACGCGCATCCGGAATACCATGGGATCTTCGTAAAGTTGATCGTTATGAGTCTTACGATGAATTTGAATGGGAAATTCAGTGGCAAAAACAAGGAGATTCATTAGCTCGTTATTTAGTACGACTTAGCGAAATGACAGAATCCATAAAAATTATTCAACAGGCTCTGGAAGGACTTCCAGGGGGTCCCTATGAGAATTTAGAAAGCAGGGGCTTTGATAGAAAAAGGAATCCAGAATGGAATGATTTTGAATATCGATTCATTAGTAAAAAACCTTCTCCTACTTTTGAATTATCGAAACAAGAACTTTATGTAAGAGTTGAAGCTCCCAAAGGGGAGTTGGGAATTTTTCTCATAGGAGATCAAAGCGGTTTTCCTTGGAGATGGAAAATCCGACCACCGGGTTTTATTAATTTGCAAATTCTTCCTGAACTAGTTAAAAGAATGAAATTGGCTGATATTATGACGATACTCGGTAGCATAGATATAATTATGGGAGAAGTTGATCGTTAAAATGATAATTTATGCAACAGCAGTCCAAACTATAAATTCTTTTGTTAAATTGGAATCTTTAAAAGAGGTCTATGAACTCATATGGATATTTGTCCCTATATTTTCTCTTGTATTGGGAATCATAACAGGTGTACTAGTAATTGTGTGGTTAGAAAGAGAAATATCTGCAGGGATACAACAACGTATTGGACCTGAATACGCCGGCCCGTTGGGAATTCTTCAAGCTCTAGCCGACGGGACAAAACTACTTTTCAAAGAAAATCTTCGTCCATCTAGAGGAAATACTCCTTTATTTAGTATTGGACCATCTATAGCAGTTATCTCTATTTTACTAAGTTATTCAGTAATTCCCTTTAGCAATCACCTTGTTTTAGCGGATCTCAATATCGGTATTTTTTTATGGATTGCCATCTCAAGTATTGCTCCTATTGGACTTCTTATGTCAGGATATGGATCAAATAATAAATATTCTTTTTTAGGTGGTCTGCGAGCTGCTGCCCAATCGATTAGTTATGAAATACCATTAACTCTATGTGTTTTATCAATATCTCTACGTGCGATTCGTTGAAACATAAACGTTTATTTTTACTATTCCGTTTCTTCTAGACGAATCAGTTAAAAAACGGAATATATATTTATCTTTCGAATTAATCTTAATAAAAGAAATTTGATAGTTATATATGAGTGAAAAAAAACTGCTCAGAAATTTGCAGTAAAAAGAAAAATTGAGTCTCATTTCCTATGTACAAAGGTTAAAGGGAAATAAACATAAGTGTAAGAATCACTTTACCCCAAGGTTGGTTGATTAGTCATCCTGGCTTGAAGCGGGTTAAATATATTAACCGGATGACGTTTTCACTATCAGTTATATAGATTAACATACATGTATTACAAAGTGAGCGGCAATTAGGTAAAAGTGAGTGGATGGTTAGAAACACCAAAATACACAAAGAATTTGTAATAGAGATTAACCAAATTGAAAAGGATATTTAGGCCTAACATAAGAAAAAAAAAAAGAAGGTTAATTGGGGCTTGAAATTTGTAGAAATGATAAGACAGTACTCCCCAAGATTCCGATTCAGAGTATGCTCCTATCCACCGACAAATGTAATGACTATCAGAAACGAAATAATCCTTTATTTTTTATAAGTCTACCAACTTTTTTCTAAAAAAGAAAGAAGAATAGGAACGAAACAAGGATCTTTTTTTTCATATATTTCGAAAATAAAATAGAATTTCTGTCATGAATAATAAACAAATAGGATGTCTAATTATTTTTCGTAATCGAAAACCACGATGGGCTGAAATACCTTTTTTTATTTTTACAAGGAGTATTTTATTAAAGGGTTAAGTTATTACTCAACAAATAGAAATTCATATTTGTAAAGGGTGAGATGAATTCCGAAGCGCGTTTTTTATTCTTAGAATTTGAGCAGACAGAATTCCATTGGTATAATTCGGGACCCCAGATATATTTAATCCATTTTAGAACACATCATATCCATCTAAATGATAATCTGGTCCTTAGATTTATTTATGGCCCCCGAGGAGCCGTATGAGGCGAAGACCTCATGTACGGTTCTGAAATAGCGGTGAAAATAGTAATGTTCTCGCCGACTAGGATTATCTAACAGTTTAAGTACAGTTGATATAGTTGAGGCACAATCAAAATATGGTTTTTGGGGATGGAATTTGTGGCGTCAACCTATAGGTTTTATCATTTTTCTAATTTCTTCTCTAGCAGAATGCGAGAGGTTACCGTTTGATTTACCAGAAGCGGAAGAAGAATTAATAGCAGGTTATCAAACTGAATATTCAGGTATCAAATTTGGTTTATTTTACGTTGCTTCTTATCTAAATCTATTAATTTCCTCATTATTTGTAACAGTTCTATACTTAGGCGGTTGGAATATTGCTATTCCGTATATATCTATTCTGGAGCTATTTCAAAGGGATCAAATTTTTGGAACAACAATTGGTATCTTTATTACATTAGCTAAAACTTATTTGTTCTTGTTCATTTCTATCGCAACAAGATGGACTTTACCTAGGCTAAGAATGGATCAACTATTAAATCTTGGATGGAAATTTCTTTTACCTATTTCCCTTGGTAATCTATTATTAACAACTTCTTTCCAACTCTTTTCACTCTAAATTGAAAATGAATCCAATATATTCATTATTTGATTTGTTTTAAACAAGAGAAAGAAACAAAGATAAAATTATTCAGAGATAATTACAATATGCTTCCTATGATAACCGGGTTCATGAATTATGGTCAACAAACCCTACGAGCTGCAAGGTATATTGGTCAAGGTTTCATGATTACCTTATCCCACACAAATCGTTTACCTGTAACTATTCAATATCCCTATGAAAAATTAATAACATCGGAACGTTTCCGTGGTCGAATCCATTTTGAATTTGATAAATGCATTGCTTGTGAAGTATGTGTTCGAGTATGTCCTATAGATTTGCCTGTTGTTGATTGGAAATTGGAAACTAATATTCGAAAAAAACGATTGCTTAATTACAGTATTGATTTTGGAATTTGTATATTTTGTGGTAATTGTGTTGAGTATTGTCCAACAAATTGTTTGTCAATGACTGAAGAATATGAATTTTCCACTTATGATCGTCACGAATTGAATTATAATCAAATAGCTTTGGGTCGTTTACCAATGTCAGTAATTGACGATTACACTATTCGAACAATTTGGAATTCACCTCAAACAAAAAATGGAGTAAACCCTTTAATTTGATTAAAAAAAGAATTCCAAATTGTTGAATTATATAAAGAATTTAATTAAAAACTTGTATTTATATAATAATATTAAGTATTAAGGCACATTCTTTTAATATAATATGTTCGTAATTACTTTCTTGAAATAGATAGGTTGAAAATACACTTTAGAATAAAAAAAGAGAAACTGTCTAATAATTGTATCTACATCAACTCATATCCATTAGATTCTAATTTCACTCTATTAGAAACATATTAAAAAAAAATTTCCTGGTTAAATTAATAAGGTCATGAAAAGGATTTCGATTTTTTTCTTATTTTAATAATATAATGGGTTTGCCTGGACCAATACATGATTTTCTTTTAGTTTTTCTGGGATCCGGTCTTCTAGTAGGAGGTCTGGGAGTGGTATTCCTTCCCAACCCAATATTTTCAGCCTTTTCCTTAGGATTTGTTCTTGTTTGTATATCTTTATTGTATATTCTATCAAATTCCCATTTTGTAGCTGCTGCACAACTCCTTATTTATGTGGGGGCCATAAATGTTTTAATCATATTTGCTGTGATGTTCATGAATGATTCAGAATATTCCACAGATTTCAATCTGTGGACCGTTGGGAATGGGATTACTTCGTTGGTTTGTACAACTATTCTTTTTTTATTAATGTCTACTATTCTCGATACGTCATGGTACGGGGTTATTTGGACTACAAAATTAAACCAGATTCTAGAGCAAGATTTAATAAGTAATAGTCAACAAATAGGAATTCATTTATCAACAGATTTTTTTCTGCCATTTGAACTCATTTCAATAATTCTTTTAGTTGCTTTGATAGGTGCAATTTCTGTGGCTCGTCAATAAAAAATGTTCTAAATTATTAAAGACCAAAGAAAACTTTGTGTATGTTATGATTTTTTCCGTTCATTCAATTAAATTTGATTGAATACTATTTCATATTTTAAGGATCAATTTTTATATTTGATATATATTTAAAAAATTTTTTTACCTAAATATTGTTTTTATTCGTACTTTTTTGTTATATTCTAGTTGATGGAATCCGGTGAATTATTTTTCATATTGAAATGAATCAAAATTGATAAGGAGTTGCTGAATGATACTCGAACATGTACTTGTTTTGAGTGCCTATTTATTTTTGATTGGTCTTTATGGATTGATCACGAGTCGAAATATGGTTAGGGCTCTTATGTGTCTTGAACTTATACTCAATGCAGTTAATATGAATTTCGTAACATTTTCTGATTTTTTTGATAATTCCCAACTAAAAGGGGAAATTTTCTGCATTTTTGTTATAGCAATTGCAGCCGCTGAAGCAGCTATTGGATTAGCTATAGTCTCGTCAATTTATCGTAATAGAAAATCAACTCGCATAAACCAATCGACCTTATTAAATAAGTAACATAACTAAAAAAATTATAGATTGAAATTTGCATATATGATAAGTTATGACCTACGAGATTATATTTGTAAAAATCTAAGAAATCAAAGTATTTTAGCCCCATTTTTTATCAATTGAGCCAGAATTCATTACAAAAATTCTATTAAAGGAAATCATTGCTTCATCTAGTATTTTAATATACCATTCAGTTAGAAGTTTACTAGATTGAAAATTTATGACATTAAAAAAACTATCGATCCTATGTCACATTCAGTAAAAATTTATGATACCTGTATAGGATGTACTCAATGTGTCCGAGCATGCCCTACAGACGTATTAGAAATGATACCTTGGGATGGATGTAAAGCTAAGCAAATAGCTTCTGCTCCAAGAACCGAGGACTGTGTTGGTTGTAAAAGATGTGAATCCGCCTGTCCAACGGATTTTTTGAGCGTTCGAGTTTATTTATGGCATGAAACAACTCGAAGTATGGGTCTAGCTTATTGATGCGTTACCGAAAAACTCATTTGAATAAATTTGGAATACATTTTATTTTTTTTTATTGACAAGTACTCGTACTCAAAAAAGTTAAATTATATTTTTTTATTTATATATTTTTTTTGAGTACGCGTTCCTTGGACCTGGTGTATCTTGTCTTTACCACGAATGATTTTCCTTGGTTAACAATAATTGTTGCTTTTCCAATATCTGCTGGTTCATTAATGTTATTTCTCCCGCATAGGGGAAATAAAGTCAATAAATGGTATACTATATGCATTTGTATCTTAGAACTTCTTCTAACGACCTATGCTTTTTGTTATAATTTTAAAATGGACGATCCGTTAATTCAACTGTCCGAAGATTATAAATGGATCAATTTTTTTGATTTTTACTGGAGAATGGGAATAGATGGACTTTCTATAGGAACGATTTTACTGACGGGATTTATTACTACTTTAGCCACTTTAGCGGCTTTTCCAGTTACTCGGGATTCCCGATTATTTCATTTCCTGATGTTATCAATGTACAGCGGTCAAATAGGATCATTTTCTTCTCGGGATCTTCTACTTTTTTTCATCATGTGGGAATTAGAATTAATTCCCGTTTATCTACTTTTATCCATGTGGGGTGGAAAGAAACGTCTGTATTCGGCTACAAAATTTATTTTGTACACGGCAGGAAGTTCTATTTTTTTATTAATAGGAGTTTTAGGTATAAGTTTATATGGTTCGAACGAACCAACATTAAATTTAGAACTCTTAGCTAATCAATCTTATCCTGTTACACTCGAAATACTTTTTTATATTGGATTTCTTATTGCTTTTGCCGTCAAATCACCGATTATACCTTTACATACTTGGTTACCTGACACCCACGGTGAGGCACATTACAGTACCTGTATGCTTCTCGCTGGAATCTTATTAAAAATGGGAGCATATGGGTTGGTTCGAATCAATATGGAATTATTACCCCACGCTCATTCTATGTTTTCTCCTTGGTTGATGGTAGTCGGTACAATCCAAATAATTTATGCAGCTTCAACATCTCCCGGTCAACGTAATTTAAAAAAGAGAATAGCCTATTCTTCTGTATCTCATATGGGTTTTATAATTATAGGTATTAGTTCTATAACGGATCCTGGACTTAATGGAGCTATTTTACAAATAATTTCTCATGGATTTATTGGCGCTGCACTTTTTTTCTTGGCAGGAACGAGTTATGATAGAATTAGGCTTGTTTATCTTGATGAAATGGGTGGAATGGCTATCTCCATTCCAAAAATATTTACAATGTTCACTATTTTATCGATGGCTTCCCTTGCATTGCCGGGCATGAGTGGTTTTATTGCAGAATTAATTGTTTTTTTTGGAATAATTACCAGCCAAAAATATTTCTTAATTTCCAAAATTTTCATTATTTTTGTAATGGCAATTGGAATGATATTAACTCCTATATATTTATTATCTATGTCACGCCAAATGTTCTATGGATACAAGTTAATTAATGTCAAAAACTTTTCTTTTTTTGATTCTGGACCCCGAGAGTTATTTCTTTCAATCTCTATTCTTCTACCCATAATTGGTATTGGGATTTATCCTGATTTTGTGCTCTCATTAGCAAGTGACAAGGTCGAATCCATTTTATCTAATTATTTTTATGGATAGTTTTCAGGAACTAAAAAAAAGCATTAAAGTGAATTATAATAAGAAAGTCTTTGGTCTTTGTATTGTGAGAACCTTTTGAATCATTGTACTACTTGATTCAAAAGGTTCTTGATTATTTCCTACTAAGATTTCTTAATTTATATGAAGTTAGATATAGATGCTATTTTTTTTTATTTAGATTTGGATTCCTTTTTGTTTGTTACTTTAATTCGATGTAAATGAACCATAACTATGTAAACCTATTCCTAAAAGATTGACGCCAAAATAGCATATCCAAATTAAAAGAAAACCGATCGAAGCCACAATTGCAGAATTTATACCCCTAACATTCCTATTTGTTTTAATATGTAAATAAATTGCGAATATAGTCCAAGTAATAAATGCCCAAGTTTCTTTTGGGTCCCAGTTCCAATATGAACCCCATGTCTCATTAGCCCAGACAGCTCCTGAAAGAATGCCGACGGTTAAAAAGATAAATCCAAGACTAATAATACGAAAACTCCAAAAATCTAATTGTTGAATCAGTTGATACCTATAATAATTTCTAGAAAAACTAAAATTAATGTTTTGTTGTAGTAAAATAGAATTTCTTTCATTTATGTAGTAAAGTACATCAAAAGAAAATAATTCATTTAATAAAAAATTTTTTTTTTTTTTCTTTTTCCAAAAAGTAGGTCCAACTTTGCGAAATGTAATCACTAGAAGAGCTATTGATAATAATGATCCGCATAACAGAGCGCCATAGCCTAATATCATCATACTTACGTGCATCATTAACCACTGGGACTGGAGAGCTGGTACTAATATTGCAGACTGAGGCATTTTGTTTAAAAGACCTGAAGTAGCAAAACCCTGAATAAAAATAACACTTGGCGCAGTTATTGCGTTTAAGTTATTTTCTTGTTTTTTATTAAAATAGGAAACCATATGAATAATTGAAAAAGCCCACGAAAGAAAAATTAATGATTCATATAAATTACTTAATGGAAAATGTCCTGAATAAATCCAACGAGTGAATAATAATCCTGTTATACCAAAAAACGTAATTATGATTCCTTTATCTGATGAATCAAAAAATCCTATGATTTCATCTAAATTAACTAATAAAGTTACAAAATAAATTGTCAGTACAATTGAAACGACCGAAAAAGATATATGAGTTAATATATGCTCTAAAATTGAAAAAATCATAAAAAATTTGTTAAAAATTAATAAATTAATACTAGGTTTTACCCGATTTTAGAAAAAGGAGTCGGGTATTATTTTGATTATAAAACTTATAATATCTCTTTTAGAAGATCTTATGCCGCTACTCGGACTCGAACCGAGATGCTCTAGCACTGCTTCCTAAGAGCAGCGTGTCTACCAATTTCACCATAGCGGCAACTTGTTCAAAACAATATTAACAGGTTTTGATTCAATCGTCGAGATTAAAATTTAAATAAAGAAGGCAATTGATTCAAATTTCCAATTGATTAAATAAATTAAAACTTTTTGAAGTAGGTATTGGTGTTTTAATTAAATTAAGATCTTTTTGTTTTTTTTCTGAGTTATTTAAAATTATTTAAATTCACTTTTTGTTCTTTATATTTTTTCTAGAATACAATGAAAAATGTAACTAAATTCAAGTAGTTGGAACTTCAACCCAAAGACAAAACTCTAAATGCTCTTTATCATTTTTTTTTCTTTTATATGATGAAAAAAATTTCGAAAAATAAAAACTTCTTCAAAACCCTTAGCAATTTTAAATAAAATTAGATTTTCCTAATTGCTCAAGAGAAATAAAAAAAATTATCAAAATATTTTTTTTTATGTATCTTTTTATATTGTACAAACAGTACAAACATAAGATTTTTTGATCACTTAAAGTAATTAATTTCAAGATCTTTTATTTCCTCATTAAGAGGAAATAAAAGATCTTTATTTATTATTGTCTCAAAGTAGTGAAGGTAGTGATGGTAGTGATGGGGAAAAAACGAATCCCCTTTTTATAACTAAAAAAATGTGAACCTTTCTTTTTTATCTATATATTATCTTTTTTTCTTCTTTTGGTTCCTATTTTGTTTTAAATGTGAACCTTTCTTTTTTATCTATATATTATCTTTTTTTCTTCTTTTGGTTCCTATTTTGTTTTATATGTATTTTAACAAATTGGTTTTTAAGTTAGGCTAATTCTAATTATTATAGTGTTTTTTATTTATTTTGCTGTACAAAAAAACTTTTTGAATTACCTGTAGAAAGTGATTTCCCTAACGAAAAAGCTTTCAACGATGTCCAATATCCCTTCCTTTTCCAAATTTTTTTACGAATACGCTTTTTCGAGATAGAAGTACGTTTTTTTGGAACTGCCATTCAAAAATGAAAAAAAAATTTTCAGTGGTATAATTGGATGTCAAAGACATTTATTATTCTATTCTTTCGTACTCCATATCGAGTTATTTTTTCTTTTAAATTTTATTATATATATATTATTTTCAAAACAAAAAATACATTCAAAAGTTTCAAACCCAACTGTTTTTTTTACTTTTTTTTTAACGTTTGAAATCCGTACGAGAGTACTCATTTAAGTAATCTATACTGATAGATTCTATTAGATTCTATTATCAAAAAACTTATAAGATTTCTTCACATAATATGTAAAAAAAACATATCGATTAGAGTAATCTTTCTTACAAATATAAATAAAAAAAGCTCACTTAGTGTACTGGAAGACAATCACTAAATTCCATGATGAAAATCCATTCCTTAACAATCCTAAATAATCAAACTCAAATAACTTTGTTTTAGGGAAAGCTTTTTTTATATAATTAATATTAAGTAATATTAAGTATTTTTTTGTCGTGTAAATCTTTGTTCTATTCTTAATATATGTATATAAATTATTGTAATACGGAATTATAATTCACTTTTTCTGTATCTGCATAAAATCACAATAAATTTTTATTTAGTAGTAATAAAAAAAGACAAATAAATTTTTTTGACAGTAACTTAGTAAGATTTTTTAATCATTTCTAATTTTTTTATTTGAATATATATTTCTTTTCAAAGATTTATGAAGGATTATACTAATTCGAAAACATTTGTATTTAGGTTTGAAATCACGTGCTTTTTTATTGTCCCCTTTGAAAAAAAAAAAAATATATATATATATACAAACCAGTGAATAAGAAATAATAAAATTAAGAATAAAATAAAAAGGATTTTTTATTTTATGGAACATACATATCAATATTCATGGATCATCCCTTTCATTCCACTTCCAGTACCTATTTTACTAGGAGTTGGACTTCTCCTTTTTCCGACAGCAACAAAAAACCTTCGACGCATGTGGACTTTTCTTAGTATTTTTTTGTTAAGTATAGTTATGATCTTTTCACTCTATCTATCTATTCAACAAATTTTTCTAAGTTGCATTCATCAAAATGTATGGTCTTGGACCATAAATAATGAATTTTCTTTTGAGTTCGGTTACTTTATCGATCCACTTACTTCTATTATGTCAATATTAATTACAACTGTTGGGATTTTGGTTCTGATTTATAGTGACAATTATATGTCGCATGATCAAGGATATCTGAGATTTTTTGCTTATATGGGTTTTTTTAATACTTCAATGTTAGGATTAGTTACTAGTTCTAATTTGATCCAAGTTTATTTTTTTTGGGAATTAGTTGGAATGTGTTCATATTTATTAATAGGTTTTTGGTTCACACGACCTATTGCAGCGAATGCTTGTCAAAAAGCTTTTGTAACTAATCGTGTAGGGGATTTTGGTTTATTATTAGGAATTTTAGGTCTTTATTGGATAACAGGCAGTTTTGAATTTCAGGATTTGTTCGAAATATTCAATAATTTAATTTTAAATAATAGAGTAAATCTCTTATTCCTTACTTTGTGTGCATTTCTATTATTTGTAGGTCCTATTGCTAAATCCGCACAATT